TGAGAATGAAGATGAGAAGAGAAGAGAAACTGTAGCCCAAGCTTAGCATAAAGACTAGAAAAAGAGTGACACTGTTAGTCTAGCTTAGCATTAACACTGGCACAACAAGGATTTTGTTAGCCTAGCTTAGCATAAATATTGAAACAAGAAGGATGCTGGTAGCCTTGCTTTACCTATAACTACAACAAAAGAGAAACTATCCACATAGCCTAGCATAAACACTGGACCAAGAGGGGCACTGTTAACCTAGCTTATCATAAACACTAGTAGCCTTTCATCAAGTCTCAGATCTGTTACTGATTTTACTGACCTCCTGTTTCCTTATCCTCTTCCTCACTTCCTTCCTTCCTCACATCCTTCTGTGAGTCCAAGGTTCTGTGTTTACTTTTGTTTTGTTTTGCGGTTGTTTGCTGACTGTTGTTTTTGTTTGTTGTTGTTGTTTGTTGAGTGTTAACTTCTTTTTGCAGACATTTATGTTGCTTGTTGGTGATTTTTGGATGATATTTGCTCTTGAACACTCTGCTGAATGTCTGACCGATGTCACCTGTGCAGGTGAAGCTGTGGCCTACAGCTGGAGGGCTCTGATTGGTTGAACTCAGTCTCACCTTCAGAGTTCTGGCGGGAAGCAGCTCCTCGGATCCTGAAGGCCTGTCTGGTTCTGCTGCGTTCTCCGAAGCTCCAGCTCTTTGGAACTTTGCTTGGACTCTCTTCCAGACTGGGCTCCATGCTGGGGGATCGACGCAAGGCCTGGACTCCTGCCGGACCTCCAGGAACTCCTGGACCAACACCTGAACCGGGACAGAACCGTAAACAAGTCTGGATGTAGCTAACGTTAGCCTCGAGGGCTAAAATGTTTGTAAGAGAACATGTTTACGGCCTTCAGGTGTTTCGTGCTACGTTGGGTTTATGTTTGGGAAACGTGAAGACAAAAGACACAAACTTAGAACAAAGGAAACCACACGATTAAAAAATGACACAAAATGTTTAAAAAATGGTGTAAAACAGCCGAAGTTAGACATTAAACAACCAAACATAGACACAAAGAGTCTGAAGTAGAAACTAAACAGACACAACAGAGCCATGAAGTGATGATCAACAACAAAAAACTCTAAGGAGCCCAAAGGAGACCCACCTGGACCAGGACTGACTCCAGGAGCAACCCCAGGTCCAACTGGAGGAACCACTACAGACAAGGAGTGAGGAAGCAAACAAGGTCAGAGATGTGACATGGGCTGTTTCAGGTTCTGTTTGGTTGAGCTCAGCTGCAGGTAAACAGGCAGAGAACCTGGTTCTGGTCGGAGAACCATGAACCTGCAGATAGTTGGGACTCTACAAACCACAGATCATCCTGTGACTCTATTCATTCAGCTGACACGATCATTTTTAATAACATTTGAATTTACAGTAATGGACGACGGAGTGTCAACCAAAGAGTGATTTGGTAGAGATCCAACATGCTGCAGCAGGGTTCTGACAGAACGAGTACCAGATCATATGTCTCCTGTATCCGCTTCTCTTCAGTGGCTCCCTGTAAAATCCAGGATAGAATCTAAATCCTGCTTCTAACAAATAAACTCTCCATGAGCAGCTCCATGTGACCTTACAGACCTTATGGTACCGTATCATCCTAACAGAGCCCTTCGCTCTCAGACTGCAGGTCTACTGGTGGGTCCAGAGTCTCCAGAACCAGAATGGGAGGCGGAGCCTTCAGCTATCAGCTCCTCTGTTGTGGATCAGCTCCCAGTCTGGGTTCTGGAGGCAGACACCCTCTCTGCTTTAAGGTCAGGATGAAAACGTTCCTCTGTGATGAAGCTGATAGTTAGAGCTGCTCAGGATCACCTGAACTGTCCCTTAGTGATGCTGCTGTAGCTTCAGACTGCCGGGGGACTCCCATGATGCACTGGGCTCCTCTCCTCTGGATCTGGAGCTTCACGTCTCTGATATGCAGTTTCTGTTCTCACCAACCTCCAGAATATTCATTGTTCTGTTCTGCTGCTGCTCTCCATCTGTTGTCCTGCTATCACACCCCATCCCCACTCTGACCCAACCGGCCCAGGCAGATGGCCTCCTTCCCTGAGCCTGTTTCTGTCCTGGTTCCTTCCCACCGTCGCTGACTGCTGCTCAGAGGAAATCCAGAGGCTGCTCTGGATGGCTGGGTCCTCTGTTTAGACTCGTGAGGTCTGTAGCTGACTGTGTTCAGGCTGTGAGGTGACGTGTGGTGAACTGCGCTGGTCAAATAACATTGAATTGAATGAATCCGATTAGGTGGTGTGATCAGTGTAACATCACGACGCTCCACAGACTCCGACACCCACCATGCTGAGGAGAACCTTTGCCTTTGGTTCCAGAACTACGAGGAGATGAGAAGACCCTTTCCTTCAGACTGACCTTCTGCCTGCAGGTGGACACAGAGACCATCAGTGTTCACACTGCATGAGGTAATACTGTTAAAGCTGCAGTAATGTGGATAAAGCTATCGACGCTCTGTCAGCAGCCGTGTTGGAACATGGGCGCCTCCGACTGACCCTGGAGATGGTTCAGGCTGGACGTCCTTCCTGCAGACAGACACAATAAATCACTGATTATTTTATTGATCCCTGGGTTCAGCTGATTACGAGCAAACTGCAGCTAAACAGACGAGCCGAAACATGGCGAGCCCCTCTGAGGGTCCAGTGGTACCAGGTGGTGTCAGACTGGTTTCTGCTGTGGTTCCTACTCTGGTTCCTGCTCTGGTTCTGCTCTGTCCCTCCAGTCAGTAGCTCCTCAGTAGTGCTGATTCAGAGGGTTTTAGAACATCCGCCTTGTGAAGGAAACATGACTGTCCTGGTTTGGAGTTGATCTTTAGAGAAGATACTGAAGCGACTGGGCTCTTCAGGTGAACGTAGCGCTGTAGCAGATGTACACTCGGCCTGCACCTCTCAAGGCCAGATGACACCCAGGCGCTGGCTTATCTTTGTTTCCCTTTCACCCATAAATCTGGATGTGGCTCCCACTGAGGGAGGAGTGAGAGGGATCTTTAGAAGTGATGAACTGCTGCTCTGTTGGTGTCACTTCTCCTGATGCATCAGTAAACCTTATTCCAACCTTATTCTCTGTGTCGGGCTCCTCACCCGACATCAACCTGTTCCAGAGTTTCCACAACACGCCTGGTTGTCTAGACAGAACCGTCTGGTTCTTGTCAAAGTGCTTCAGGTCTTAACAGCTACATTTTCCTTCACATCCAGCACACTGAGAACCGACTGTTCCCTGATACAACCAGAACCAAACACGTGGCTCCGTGGTGCTCTGGGTCACCTGAGAGGTCGAGATGTTTCGGCTCTCTGATGCAGCAGTTCAGTTTAAGCAATAAAGTAAAACCTTCCAGACCTGAACGACAGTCCTGATTTGTTCTTGAGGTTCCTCAGGAGGTCCAGCTGATTGAGAGGAGGAATCAGCCTGGAGACACACAGGACCATGATGATACAGAACCACTGTAGTAACATCTGGGGAGCTGAAGGTCTGCAGGTGGAGTCTCACCTGTACATGGGGACGGACACCGTCCTCTCATAGTAATCCCAGGTAGAGGTCAGGTCGGTCCGGGTCAGGTTTGTGGCGTAAACCCTCCAGGCTGCCTGCAAAACCAGAGGAACACCATTTCAAGTCAGAACCAGCTAGTTTGGGTTCATCCTGTTTCAGTGTTCAGCTGCTCCAACAGCCTGAAGCTGAACTGCAGACCTGACAGGTGAGCTTCAGGTCTGCAGTTCAGCTGAGTCTGGTCAAACACTCCCCTGTGGTAGGCAGAGCTTTTTGTCCCGACAGATTTTATCAGCTCAAACGGAATTCAGCTTTTGGGTAAAAATTTAGGGAAATACATGCAAACGTGATCTTCTACCTGTTCACACTCAGTCAAGGTGTGAGAGATGTTCACGCCAACATCACTGAAGGAAACTAAAGAAACACAGATCGTCTCCAGAGTTCTGAACTTTCCGTTTCTGTGTTTTTTTTAAATGAATTTCCGGCAGTCTATTCTCAGTGGGCAAGGCTGTAACACTGTACCTTCTTACCTCCATATGCCTGACCAATCACTGTGCAGAGTGGGTGTGATGTCAGAGTCCCTGGTTCACCTGTATGAGTCCTGCTGCTGGGTTTCTTCTCTTCTCAAAGTGTTTCTGTCTGTGCTGCTCCTGAACCTTCAGAGCAAAACCTGAACCCAGGATACCCTGAAGACAGACAGACAGACAGGCAGGTGAGCTGGGGTGGAGCAGGTGTCTCAGATAAACTCAGGTGAGCATCAGAGTGACTCACAGCCGGCAGTGCGAAGAATGAAACTCCGATCAGAGTGAAGGTTGCTGCCAGCAGGCGTCCATTCCAGGTGATGGGGAACTTGTCTCCATAACCGATGGTTGTCAAGGTGATCTGACAGAGATGCAAACAGATCAATCAGATCCTCCCATTGCTGAGAAGGAGAAGACTGCAGGTGTTTCATTTTTCAGGTTTACCTGAGGAGTCCAAACTCTGGAAATAGAACTTTCAACCCTAACCCTGTACTACACCTGTACTACACCTGTACTACACACGTACGACACACGTACTACACCTGTACTACACCTGTACTACACCTGTACTACACCTGTACTACACACGTACTACACCTGTACTACACCTGTGCTACACACATACTACACCTGTACTACACACGTACTACACCAGTACTACACCTGTACTACACCTGTACATGCATGTACTAAACCAGTACTACACCTGTACACACATGTACTACACCAGTACTACACCTGTACATGCAGGTACTACACCAGCACTGCACCAGTACTACACACGTACTATACCTGTACTACACCTGTACACACATGTACTGCACCAGTACTGCACATGTACTATACCTGTACTATACCTGTACTAAATCAGATTCTAATCAGATTCAGTCTAACTCTTTTAGAGACATCAGAGCCCAACAGCTGCTCACCTGCTTTGAGGTGACACCTGCAGCCTGTTACACCCAGAAGGATTTTACCTGGAACACCTGGAACACCTGGAGCGCCTGGAGCGCCTGTAGCACCTGCCATCAGTGTCTAAATATTGTGTGTGTTGGTCTCACCAGTCCCCACCAGAGGGCGTCGGCGTACGTCTCAAACTGTTCGTTATCTTCTTTTTCAGCCAAATAAACGAGGAAGCTGGCCAGAATGAGGCACAGGAAGCCGATGTACCAGGCTGTGATCAGTTCCTGCAGGGACATTCAGTTAAAGACAGAGAGACTTCAGGGTCGGTCCACACGGCACCAGACACATCTGAACAAACCTCCTCACAACATCTGCTGCTGCAATGGAGCAGAGTTTTACAGGTGAGTGAAAGGACAATACCACCTTCAGCTTCAGGCAAGTAAACAAGTAAACAAGTAAACAACAACAACACAAACATTTTCTTTAAACTCAGTTTTTCTGTCTGAGAACAAACATCTGCACCAAACGGAGACACAACGGGCTGATCAATAGCTCTGATCAATACACTGCAGATCAATGACACGGATCAGATGTCAGCAAGATGATACCAATAAACCAATACCGCTGACACACTGAAACACAATCACACACACACACACACACACACACACACACACACACACACACAGTAACAAAACAACCTCCTTCAGCCCCCATAAGTTCAATCTGTTTTTTTTCCTGTTTGTTTGTTTGTGTTCGTTTCTGCTTTTTTGTTTGTGTTTGTTTGTTTGTTTGTTTGTTTTTGTTGGTTTGTTTGAGGTCTGGCCCCTTCAGCCGGATCAGGAACATCAGGATCAGGGTTTGTACCAGAGGTCCAGGTGCCTTGTGGGTAATGAAAGCATCACTGAGTTGGGTCAGTTTGGTCTTGGACTGTGGTTCTGATGGTACCTTGCTGTGGGCGTAGACCACTGAGCCCAGAAGCTTCCAGGTTCCTCCACGGCGGTCCATCCGGATCATCCTCAGAATCTGAAGGAACCGAAGAGACCTGATGGCTGACGTGGCGAACACATTCCCCTGGGTCCCCGCCGCCAGAACCGAGATGGACGCTATCAGAACCATGATGTCTGCAGACAGACAGGCCAGAGAGAGAGAGAGAGACGGGTCAGACAGACAGTCAGACAGACGGGTGAGAGACAGACGGGTGAGAGACAGACAGGAACTGACCGATGACACAGAAAGGTTTTCTGGCGAACTTGAGTCTTCCTCTCCATCCTCTGTATCTGCAGCAGCAGCCTGCAGCCCAGATCCTCACCATGTACTCCACCCCGAACACCACGATGGTCACCACCTCCTGCAACACAACAGCAACACGACGCAGGAGTCAGGGTGACTGCTGCAGCACAACAACAACAACAACAACAACAACAACACAACAGCGGTGTCAGTGTGACGCTGCAGCACAACAACAACAACACAACAGCGGTGTCAGTGTGACGCTGCAGCACTGAGGTTTTCATGCACCTGTGAGACCTTGTATATCTTCACGCTCATGGCTCCCATCGCTCACAACAAACAAGCAGGAATTCTGATTATTTCATAGATTTATTAAAAGTCTTCCAGAAATATGACAAAATCTGTTGGGTAAAAACGGACACACTTCAACTTGAATTATCAGTTTTGGTGATGTAGAAAGTAGCATTAATCAAATGTTCTTAGCTTCATGACCTCCTCACTTCTCCTGAGTGGTTCTGATTGACTCCAGCTGCTGACTCCTCTGATCCAGTTTCAACAGAACCTGTGATGAAACAAAAACTGAGCTATGTGGCCACACTGAGCAGAAACATGTCTGGAGGAGAGAAGGTGAGGCCTTCAACCCCAAGAACACCAGACCTACCACCAAGCATGGAGGTGGCAGCATCACGCTCTGGTTCTGTTCTGCTGCCAGTGGACCTGGAGCTTTACACAAAGTCAATGGAACCATGAAGAAGGAGGATTACCTCCACGTTGTTCAGGAAAACCTAAAACCATCAGCAGAAGGTTGATTTTGGACACAGTTGGATGTTACAACCAGACAATGAGCCCAAACACACATCAAAGTGGTGAAGAAATGGTTCCATCAGGCTGGAATGAAGGTTCTAGACTGGTCTCCCCAAAGTCCTGACTGGAACCATCCAGAACCTGTGGACTGATGAAGGAACAAGTCTGAGTCAGAAAGACGACAAGTTTATTTGAACTGCAGCGATTCTGTCCAGAGGAGCCAGAGATGAACCAGAAGCTGGTGGACGGGAACCAGAAGAACCCGACTGAGGAGAACATGGACGTTTAACCAGATATGAACATTTCTGTATGTATAGTTTTGATCCAGCAGGTTTGGTCATATTTCCAGAAGACTTTTAACAAATATATGAAGGAACCAAAACACATGATTGTTTTAGTGACAAAGATCCATGTTTCAGTGGTTCCATCAGAGAAGATTCAAAGTTCTAGGACTCACTGGAGACTAAAGACTGAACGATAAACATGGACTTTACAAGAGGATGGAAACTTTTGTTCTCGACTGTACGTTCTAAGACCATCTGAAAACTGCAAATCTGATGCTTGTTTCTGGTTGTACGGTTTAATAAATGGTGTCACTTCTGTGATTTTTAACTCAGAGGTTAAATCTTCACTCAGTGACGAACCATCGGGTCAGATCATGATGGAAAGTTTGATCTAAGCTCAAAGAAAAGATCTTCAAGCAGCAAACAACCCAAAATTAAACAACAGAACCATAAAAAATGCTTTTCTACATTTAGACTGGAGCCTTTGGAGTCTGAATACTGAGAGCTTCCTGCTGTAACTGTCTGATTACCACCTGCTTCTCTTCTGGTACTTAGGACTAGCCGCTCATTAACTAATAAACTGATTGACTGATTAATTTCTGCAGTCAGCAGATTGAGTTGTTTCGTGTCCCTTTGTGGTCGTTTGGTCTTTAATGATTTACATTTCTGAGCCTCAGGTCGTTTTCATCCATAAAACCTGCCAGCTGAGCTTCACTGACCAGAATCTTAAAGATCAGTAAAAATACTGATCGAACATCTGACGTCTGGTTTTCTCTCGTTTAAAACAGAGGAAAGAACAAAATCCTCACAGAAGCTCAAACAGCAATCAGCCGTGCAGCCGATCGATGGAACGACACGGCCAGCGTTCCTCAAACAAGGAACAAATCAATAGTTTGTCCTCAGAGATGTTTACCAGGATGTAAAGTGCGTCCTCAGAGCTCTTCTCGTACTCTCTGATGGTGGAGAACACCGACAGAACCAGGCAGGAGAACACCAGCAGGAACCTGAACACAGAACATGAAGCTTAAAAACGGCTACCTGAAAACCGCTGACTATATCCTGAGCTCCCCGGGTGTTTACATGCAGGTGAGGTCACACAGGTGAGCTGTGGGCAGGTATTTACACGTAGGCGTGATAGATGAAGGCCCATCCTCGAGGTCTCTCCAGGACGTTGTACAGGAAGTTCTGCAGGCGTCTGTAGAGAGCGTTTCGTTTTGGAGGTTTCTTTCCTCCGGAGACGCTGCTGCGCTGCCGCCGAGGTCCTTCGTCCCCACCTGAACACAGAACACAGACTAATGGGTCCTCGGTCGATTCTGGTCCATGTTTTACTGTGATTCAGGAACTCTGCTGATCCCAGGTTGTCTTAAACGCCTGAATTCTGGTTGGAGGTCCTGAACCTCCTCAGAGTCTCTGTCATGGTCCCGGTGCTGCTAAACTCCGACAATGCTCTCTGCCACCATGAGATGTAGTCTGTGGATGCCTCCTTGGATCTCTACAGGATTAAACAGGAAGAGGCTCCACCTGGTGGAACAACCAGGTACTGCAGCTGGTCTATGGTATGTTCACTGACATCATAGCTCAGCTTGTATTCGTCTGCAGCTGCTTTCATCTGGATGAAACTGTTCTAAAATGCACATTCACAGAACTTTATGTCTGTAGAAACATCAAAATGAGCTTCACTGTTTGTAGTAACTGAATGATGGTGACCAAAGAAGTGTTTGCAGTTCAAACCGTAATTAGGCAACACATGTACAACAATTACAGGCAAAAATATAAATCATTAACATGAAGGGCTTATCTCTGAGTAAAGAACCATGTTTATGCAGGTATGAGCTCTGTGCACCTGGGTCAGTTCTAACATGGGACAGAACAGGAACAGCAATACGAAGACACGAGGAGATTTCCTCCCTCAGACACCAGCCACACATGAACCTGAACTACGGCACCGAATAAAGCCACTGCTGGATCAGCTTAAACCACTTTCTACATTAAATATAGCAAAACGGAGTTAATTTAACCAGTAAAGTCAGTGGCACTGGTGGAAGCCAGCTGTAGCTCAACACTACTGGCCCATGATGTTAGTAAAGTTTCCAGTTTTATCAGCTTCAGTATTTGTTTAACCTGAACATCAAGTGTTAAACAGGATGTTGTGTTTAAACTTGTCGCTCTTTACTTTTCTGCTTGAAAACAATGGACAA